CACAGTGACCAATGGTATAGAATAGAGAGCCTAGAAACAGCTCAATACCCATATGGAGAGAAAAGAATGGGAAAAAGCATGTCAGAAAGAGTGAAAATTCTGGGAAATTTCAAAGGGAGTCATATACACATAGTTGGAATATGAGAAGGGGAAGAAACTGAGAGAAGAAATTTTGAAATAATGGCTGAGAACTTTTCAAAATGATTGACAGACACCAAAACATGGATTCATGAAACTCAGGAATATCAAGTAAGATAAATTTTACAACAAACAATTTTTAAAGTTTTTGGTTTACTAAAAAGAGCCACAACTAAACACATTATATTCACATTTATAATAAAAATTTTTATTTCACTTTCCTGATGTTTGGGGAAAACTTTTAAACTTTTAAGCTTTGGTTTTCCTCTTCATTTTTTGGATCATTTCAAAATACCATGTCCAGGTAAGTCAAGAAATTCTGGGTTCTCCTTCCTTTGGTGTCAATGGGTGATTCAAACTACCCAAGCCCCTATTCATGTGCCAGAATGTCCAACCCAGCCCCAGCCCCTAACCACTAGAAAAATCACCAAATTAGTCTCCTTTTTGTGATCTCTCAAGGCAGTTTGGGACCAGATTGGGAGAACCACTCTTTTTTTCCTTAGAAACCTCATTATGTCAATAGAAAATTTACTCATACTTTCTGTGTGTGTGTGTGTGTGTGTGTGTGTGTGTGTGTGTGTGTGTGTGTGCATGTTGGCATCATCAGTGTTGATATCTGAACCAAATTGTAGTCATGAATCCATCCTATCATTGTATGGTGGCCCTAAAAAAAAACTACAAGAAAGGAAAGACAGAAAAATATCTTGGAAGAAGCTAGGGAAAGTGGTGTAAAACTTGTATAAAAATTATAGAGATTTGTTGTCAGAAAGCATGCAAAGGAGAAGCAAGTGAAGTGTAATACCAAAATGTTGAAAAACCCAAACCCCAACCTAGAATTCTATGTCTAGTTAAATTATCTTTAAAAGGAAAAAGAAACAGACTTCAACCAAAAAAAGCTAAGCAAATTTGTCCCCAATTGATTTTCCCTGCAGAAAGTGTTAAAATAACTTCTACAGAAAGAAAGAAATGTATGTCGGTTAGTGACTCAGATCTACATAAGGAAAGAACATTCAAGAAGGAATAAATGGAGATAAAATAAAATATTTTTATGTTTTCTTAATTGAGCCAAAATATAATTGATTGCTAAAAATAATAATATCAAATTGATTGAGTGGTAACAGTTGCACTAAAAAGTATTGAAATGTTCAAAAATAAGAAATAATAGTAAACACACACAACACACACACAAAGTGATGAAAGTCTGTCAAAGGGACATTGGAGCCAACTGAGAGTTTTCAATGGCCAAAGCTGTAATAATTTGAGCAAAAAATAAACAACTCAATAAGGTAGTAAATGATTGAATAAATAAATAATATGGGTGTTTTAGTCTGTTTGTACTGTTAGTACAGAACACAGTACACCAGGTAATTTATAAGGAACTGAAACTCATTTTCTCACAGTTCTGGAGGCTGGGAAGTCCCACATCAAGGCACCAGCAAGTTCAGTGTCTGGTGAGAACTCAATCTCCCTTTCCCAAGTGGCACCTGTTATTTCCTCCTCACAAGAGGAGGAGCACTGTCCTCATATGGTGGAAGGCAGAAGGTTCTAACACCTAAATTTTCATAAGGAGAGGAGCTCTCATGACCTCATCACCTCTTAAAATCCTTCATATCTTACTAACACTATGTTGTTCATTAATTCAACAACTGAATTTTGGATGGGACACATACAACCATAGCAGCAGGAAAAGAAATACATCTCCTAGGCAGATATTGCCAAGTAATTTATATGGAAACACTGACTTCTAGGAAGTGAAGCACAAATTGCCACCATTTAAGAGTGAGCTTCATACAGTGACTTCTTTTCAAAAGAAATATGGAAAGGAAAGGTAAATAAATACCTTTACAGTGGAGAAACCTGAAAAATCGTATTCAGTTTGTCAAGGATAGCGTCAAGAGCAACACATCATTTCTAAGGTGTGAATGTGTCACCCAGAATTCACATACTGCAAACTTAATACCCAAAGTAACAGTGTTGGGAGGTGGGACCTAATAGGAAATATTTAGGTCAAAAGGGGTCTGCCCTCATGAATAGATTGGTGTCATTATTAAAAGGCTCACAGGAGTGGGTTTGCTGTCTTGTGCTCTTTGCACTTTTATGTTCTGTCATGCGACGATGCATCAGGAAGCCACTCACTAGATGCCAGTGCCTTGCCCTTGACTTCCTGGAACTGTGAGTAAACAAATTTCTGCTATTTATAAACCCTGTTTGGGGTATTTTGTTGTAGCAGCACAAAAAACACTAAGACAGTCACGTTGATACTATGAACCCTTGATTGAGGTGATAAAAATGGCAATTTGACTGAGTGGTCTTCCTCACCAAAACCTATAAACTCTGTTTAATTCTGAAAACAAACCAACCTACAAGCCAAAACTAAAATGTAAGACAAATCATGACTGAGACACATTCTACAAATATCTGACCAGTACTCCTCAAAACCGTCGAGGTAATCAAATGTGAAAGGGAAGCCTGAGAAACAGCCAAGACGGCCTTAAAAAGACGTGGCAACTAAATGTAACGTGTTATTTGGGATGGGATTCTGGAATAGAGAAAGGATATTAGGTAAAAATTAGTGAAATCTTAATGAAATGTGGACCTTAGTTGATAATAATATATCAATAGTGGTCATATTAATAGTAATAAGTGTACTATACTAATTTAAGGTATTAATAATAAGGAAACCTGTATATGCTCATAGTGGTGGTGGAGGGGGAAGGTTATATGAGAACTCTACTATATTTGCAATTTTTTAAAAAATATAAAGCTCTTCTAAAATTTTTGTATAATTGTATAAAATTAAAATGTTAATAAGGAGAATGAGTAAATATATTTTAGTAAATCTCAAGAAAAGAATATTGTATAAAGCAGTGAAAAAAAGGAGTAAGTCATAGCTATCCTCAACAGAATATATGAAATGTACTATGACCAAACAAAAAAAATCATTGAAATCATTTTTTACACAGTTCAAAAATAACTCAAATTTAAAAATATATCTTATACATATGTGAAAAAATAAAAATCAGGACAATGATATTCCAAAAACTCTTCTATCTACCTCAGAAGGGAGGATGAAAGCTGCTAATGTGTAGGAGGGCTGACAACTTGAAGGTAAGTGGGTTTTTTTTGTTTCTTTTGTTTTTTTTGAGAAAGAGTCTCGCTTTGTTGCCCAGGCTAGAGTGAGTGCCATGGCGTCAGCCTCGCTCACAGCAACCTCAAACTCCTGGGCTCAAGCGATCCTCTTGCCTCAGCCTCCTGAGTAGCTGGGACTACAGGCATGCACCACCATGCCCAGCTCATTTTTTCTATATATATTAGTTGGCCAATTAATTTCTTTCTATTAGTAGAGATGGGGTCTCGCTCTTGCTCAGGCTGATTTTGAATTCCTGACCTCAAGCAAGCCGCCCGCCTCAGACTCCCAGAGTTCTAGGATTACAGGCGTGAGCCACTGCGCCCAGCCAGTAAGTGGTTTTCAGTTTCCTTGTAATTGAATGTCTACCATTTAATGACCACACACAGTACCCATATTAATATAAATGAATAAAAGGGGTTATACATAGAGCAAAAATGAACACAAACCATGAACAGGAACTATGTCATTAATCAATCTGTACAGGTGAGGTCAACAGCAATAGAAAAATGAAATCTAGTTACATTTAAAGTGATATTTAATATATTTATCTCAATTGAATACTTTTCTTTATATTTAAAAAGTTATAGCAATACTGGCTCTAGGACATTTCTAGTGATGTGTTATGCTTTTTTTTTTGCTTTTGTTCTTTTAAATTGACACATAATAATTGTATATACTTACAGGGTAAGGTGTTATATTTTGATTCATGTATACAACATGTAATGATGATATCAGGGTAATTATCATGTCCATCACCTCAAACATTTATCATTTCTTTGTGTTGGGAACATTTAAAATCTGCTTTTCTAACTTTTGAAAATATACAATAAATTGTTGTTAAGTTTAGTCATTCTACAGTGCTAAAGAGCACAACTTATTTCTCCCATCTAGCTGTCCTTTTGTATCCATTAACCAATCTCTAGCTATCTTCCCACTCCCATTTTTTCTCACATCTAGTAACCACTCTTCTACTCTCTACTTCTATAAGATAAAATTTTTTTAGCTTCTAGATATGAATGAGAGCATGTAATATTTATCTTTTTTTGTCTGGCTTATTTCACTTAACTTCATGCCCTCCAAGTTCATCCACATACCATGATTGGCAGAATTTTGGTCCTTTTATGGCTAAATAATATTCCATCATGTACATGTACCATGTTTTTTAATTCATTCATCTGTTGATAGACACTTAGGTTGATTCCATTCCAGGTCTATTGTTAATAGTATTAAAATAAACATGAAAGTACAGTTCTCTCTTTAACATACCCACCCTGTCCTTCTTCCCAAGTACGGCAATTGCACCAAGGCAAGACACCTACTTTCATCCCTAGGAGACCTAGAGTCCCTCACCATCTACCTGACATTTCCGCCCTTTCTATTCTAGAGACCCAAATCATTAGGTAGGGTCATCAACTCATCTTCTAATTCCTGCTGAGTGGGAACAACAATCCCTAGTAGGATAGCCTCTTACAGGTTCTCCAGGGGTCTCTCCAGGGGACTTTAGTACATGTTCTCAGTAGATTGTTACGGTTGTAGGTGTGAGGAGGAGGTAGGCACCAGGGCTGGTAGAGCACATAGGCCTGTTTGTAGCTTGATGACCTCTAGATGGGATGAATAAATTTAGTTAGAAAATTTATGAGGATTGGTCCCAATATAGGAATTCCCAGGATGCAGAGTAATGGAGTGACCAAGGAAATTATTAAGGACTTGCACCAGGGCCTAGAGGTCTCACCTTGTGACTGGAGATGAGAGGTGGACTCTAGGATGGTATTGAAGTTGTCTTGAACCTGTCCTGACCTGTTAACATAGAAGCAGCACCATTCTTTTAAGAATAAGCAGATGCTTCCTTTTGCTGCCGTTAGAAGATCAAGAGCCCACCTATCTTGTAAAGCGACCCCTACCAACAAATGTGACTGTCCTTGTGAAAGAGCAAGTGTATGGCAGGCTTTCATCAAGCGTCATGCCGCCTCCATGGCCAAGGACTGCCCTAGGCCCAGGGATGTGCCTCTTGTGACTACTCTGACTGGCTGCTGGTCCCATAAAGGCAAAAGGGGGATTTAAGGAAAGCGCCCACATGTGTAACGGGCCCCAGCTGTGCAAGGGGAAGGGCAAGGTGGCTGAATCCCGGGCAATCTGAATATCTGGATACACCAGGCCCCGGGGGCAGCAGCCTTTCCAATAAGGAGGTCACACTCAGTGTGCTCAGGTGCCGCACCTCCAGTATATTCCCTGCTTTGGAGGAAGTTAGGCAGCAAATTTGATTTTGGCTAGCAAAATACGAGCTGATTCGTTGGTGGCATGGTATCTTCTTCTCTGAAATCTGGTACATATTCTGGTACATAATCTGGTACATAATCTGGAATCTGCATATATTCAGATCATTAAAAAAACAACAATTTCTAAATAACTGTTGAAAGGAGACTTGAACCAAAAATAAATAAATAGATAGATTCTTATTAGGGTATGCCTGGCAAAATTGATATCTGTTTGCAGTTGTTTACCTGAACATGTCAACACTTCATTGGAGACTTCTAAACCGTGTTATTGGTATATTTCAGCTAACCCAAGTGATACCAGATTATTAAGAGATAACTTCAAAAAAATAGGGTCAGAATCCATTTCTATATTATGCTATTAGATACTGTATAATATGTGAAGATATTTATTCTAATGATACTGCCTGTAAATTAAATACCATCATAATAGAGAAGCCTGATTTGTAATAAGCTCATACAATTTAGTTCTTAATTGATTCCTCACAAGAAGTCAAAGTTCGATTAAAGCCAAAAACAATTATGTTTCTCATAAACAGAGTTTTCTACAGAATTGCTGCCTCTAAAGACTCACTGGTTTTAGAATTTTGTTTGATAACTTTTGCAATATAACAAATAATTAAATGGTATATAGAGTCTTACATAAAATATGCAAATGTGATTAAGATTGGAGAAAAACACTATTCTCTTTTAAAAACAGAATAGAAAGAATTTGTACTTTGTTGCAGAGAATGTTAAGACTCAGAGAAATCAGTATTTTGATTTGGGCTTAGACTAAAACCAAAATCTAACATAGCTGTATTGTTATTTTCCTTTGGCAGCCAGGAACAAAGAAAAGAGGCATAACAGGCTATGTGGCTAAAGTGGCACATTGTTTGTTAAAATTGTTTCCTAAGTACTTACAATCTGAATTTTATGTCCCATAAAAATTCATGTGTTGAAGTCCTAACCTCCAAAATGATGGTATTAGGAGACAAGGCCTTTGTGAGATTAGGCAATGAGGGTGGAGTCCTCATGATGGAATTAGTGCCCTTATAAAAGAAGGCCTGCAGAGACCTTTTAACTTCCACCGTGTTGGAGCACAGTGAGAAGGCACCATCTATGAACTAGACAGTGGACTCTTAATAGATACCGAATCTGCTGGTGCCTTAATCTTGGACTTCCCAGCCTCCAGAACAGTCAGAAAAAAATTTCTATGATTTATAAGCCTCCTAATCTTTGGTACAGCAAGCCCTCCATGTCTATGGGTTCCACATCTATGGATTCAACCAATCACCTGCAAGGTAGAAAATATTTTTAAAAATTGTATCTGTGCTGAGCATGTATAGACTTTGTTTCTTGTCATTATTTACCAAACAATGTAGTATAAACTATTTCATAGCATTTATATTCTATTAAGTATCATAAGTAATCAAAAGATGAGTTAAAGTAACAGGAAGGAGGTACATGGGTTATATGAAAATACTACACCATTTTATCAGGGACTTGAGCATCTATGGATTTTTCTACCAACAGGAAGCCCTATCAACAATCTCCCAAGGATACCAAAGAATGATTGCATTTTATTATAGCAACCTGAATGTCCTAAGATACTGAGATAACTTGGAAGGCACACCACATCCCTCCTGGGAATGTAAATCTAGGTAAAGAAGTGGGAAAACAGAATGCCATCGATGTGTTCTTCTTTATTGCCTGTGGCAAGATATTTATAAGACAAAAAATGCCCACTAGCAAGCAGAAATGAAAGGCAATCAGAAGATTCTATAAACCTGGGGACCTGGCACACTTGGAAAACCCAGCTACTTCTAGATTCCAAAGAGCTATTTAGAGGCCCAAATTAGATTTTGAGTGACAAAAACCTAGAAATAGTTTTAATTGAACAAAAATGCCTTGCAAATTTTAAACTCAGTATGGTTTTCTCACCTAATGCCTTAAGATCCCTTAAAATAAAAATCACTAAGAGACAGGAGGAAAAGAGGGGAAGGCGAGGAGAGGGACAGTGGTGGGTGTGAAAGAGAGAGGAAAGATAGAGGAAAGAGAAAGGCACAATATATAAAAGTTATAAATAAATCATAAATTTGTAGAGAAAACTTTGGGTTTCTTAATACAGAATATGGAACTGACCAAAAAACGTTATATTCATAGTAATTAAAAATTAGAAGAGATCCATATTGCCATAAACCAATTTTGGTATAACAATACCTAGGAATATTACTCAGCAATACAAAGAAGCAAATTGCTGATAGAAGCAACTACATAGATGAATCTGAAAAACATTATACTGTGAGAATAATGCCAGACACAGAAGAGTACAGTATATATGACTTCATTTATGGTAAATTCCAGAAGAAGTAATACCAATATGCAGTGAAAAACGTCTATCAGGAACTATTTTTGGAATAGCAGAATTTTGACTGCAAATAAAGTGCAAGGATATTCTGGGGGGAGGGGTGAAGAGGCTATTCTATATAGATAGTATGATGTTGGCCACATAGACATCACATATGATAAATCCATCAATCTTTATCTTGAAGTGAATGCATGTTATTGCATCTTTTAAGAGTTACTGAGTACTTTAAAAAAGCATTTGCTTATTCAGGATATTAAAGTATCTTTAAGTCCCCAAATTTACTCAAGCTGGAAGGATGCTGCAATTTTTTAGCATCTGTGAACCAAGAAAAAGTTCTAACTACCTGTTCAAATGATGCCAAGAGAAATTGTGGAAGAAGAGAATCTCCTAGAGAATAAAATCAGAGACCAAGAAGAAAATTAAGTACTTTTCCCTAGAGACCAGAATCATGACATATTCTAGGAATTTCTGTTGTACCAAGGGAGGGGGATTCCTACTGTCTTTTCTGAGACATTTTACAATTATTCTAAATAAATAACTCTCCTGTGTCTGCCATTTTTCAATTTTTGGAACATCCTCCTGTTGTTTAGTGTGTGTTTGTGTGTAGGGTGGGGTCTGGGGTCTGGTAGCAACAACATATTATTAGTACAGAATAGCCAGATCATTCTAACGTAGATGACAGTACAACATTCAGAACTTTAGGCTTTTGAGCAGAACCCAGGAACTGGACAGGACTCTGCTTGCCTACTTTGATGAGGGGGGCAATGTAATGCATTTGGGAAGAGAACAAATGAACAACTTGTGAAAGAAGGATAGTCTGTGGCAAAGAATCATGCTCATCATTCTCTACCTATCTTCTTTTTCTGTCATTTACACAGAGCTAAAATATATTTCTCAATCTGTTTTTATTAAGGGGTCAAAAACACTGGGCTCTGACCAATGGCATGTTGGCAGAAATTATATATGTAAATTCTAGGCCAAACTTCAGAAACAACTCTCACAATCTATGCATTCTTTTGTCCCTTATCTGTTAGCTAAATGTCAATTCAAGATGACCTTGAGAGTCACTGAAGAAGGAAGAGCTACACATTGCAGAAGAAAGGTCCTTGATTGATTGCACCTAGCAGAGCTCTCCCGGCAATCTGCCTTGGACCATGATATGCGTGAGAAAAAAACACTTGTTAGGTGATGGAATTTTTCTTTGGTGCAACCCTTAACATTATTCACCCTGACAATGTTAGTGTTAAATCAGACAGAATAATTCCAAGAAAAATTATAAAAATTATAAAATATTGTGATATTTGAGGCCTACCACTCCAAGTCCTTAAAAAGCTGGGAGGGTGAAAAAAATTATATTTTATCTTTCAAGTAAATAATATTACATGAGAGAGAATTTCCTAGAAATGCTCAAAAAGCATATGAAGTGCAATTAACCTTGGCTTGTAAAGCTGAGAAGTAGTTGAAAATCTGAATTATTGCAATGGCATTTACTAAATACGTTCTCTAAAATGTTGATTTCAAAGTCATCCATTACTATGATCCTATTAGTAAAACCTAGGTCCTCACACTGAGGAATTTTTGTTCTTTTTGTTCTTTTTGTTTTGAAACAAAAGATATTTTAGAGTAAAATTCAATAATAGCATACTTATTGCCTCTTCTGATTTTTGTGTCTCATTTCTACTTTAACGTTTTCAGTGTTTGTTCATCTATTTGTTTAACTGCCTGAATGTTTTGTAAACTGCAAAACTTTTCTTCACATTTTTCAGAGGCAAAACATGAATAAAAGATACTATTCAAGTATGAGCATTCAGTCCAAAGAGCAGAAACTCTCCCTTGATACACATGAGGTGCATTTAAAAAGGAATCTTTCATATAAAATTTGTTTTAAAATGCCTTACTCTTTACCAACCATAATTTTCAAATTCAATTAGGTGCCATTTCAAGAATGCACTTTCACTACACTCTAAGAGGTAAACTAAAGTAGCATTATCAATTTATAACAAGTTAATATCCATAATAAGAAGTGTAATGAGCAGGTAACATCAAACAGTGATAGAATTAATATGTAATATAGCTGTCCATTGAGCTGTCTAGAGTTTGTTACCTATTAGATAGAGAGTTCATCCTGGTAAATAATTTCACTCTGGGTCTTGGGGAGACTGGAATTAAGTTT